GAGGCAAAAAAAAAAAAAAGAAAACCCTCAAGACTCTATAACCTCCACATAATGTATACCTGAACTCTGTGATAAAGACAGCAGCAACTATCATGTAATACTGAGTTAATCGGCCAAAGAGTTGATCAGGAAAAATACCTCACACAATTGCACTAATCTCCCCGCCTGCTGGTTGTTGTTGGTTTAGTACAGTCCCTAGTATATCAGCTCACACTAATCATGAAGGATTCCCTCTGTCTTTAGGGGCTCTGCCAGAACCGGTGAATCAGGTACGTAAAGCCTAAGCCGCTTGGAGTGGGGCTCTTATTAAACTCTAGCCAGCCGCTGGAATTTTTCTTCCCCCTCTCATTGTTGATTGGGGGAGTCTTGAGTCTTTCCCTGGAGTTGATTTGCAAGAGAAAGGAAGAAAAAGGAGCAAGAGATTATTGCACAAGAAGAGAAGAGCTTTGAAGAAGTGTTTTTTGTGATTTCACCGCCGATCCTCCACCTCTTTTTCCACGTGCTCCCTTAGCCAAAACATGTTTGTGCCATAGTGCTTTTAGAAGTTAGAAGGTAGAACTCTGATTATGCCTGGCTTTGTCTCAGAGAAGGGCTCATGGAGAAATTGTAGCATGCATTGGCCCCTTGTTAGACCCCTGACAAATGTAAGTCCCAGACTTGAAAGCTAGCCGGATACTTGTGACTTGAGGACAGTTTTTCATGTGGATGATGTGAGGAAGCAATCCCTCTTCTTAACCTATGCCTCTAGAACATTCTTTCAAAACAACAAGGATGGGGTTGTGTTTCACTTCTGATTTCTATAAATTGGCTGGACACTCTTAACTTTAGCCCCTCTTATCCTGGAGCCCAACTCTTTGAGCCATTGGCCCCACTCCATATCTCATTATCTCTTTCAAAATTTCATTTTGTCATTGCACCCACGCACTCTTTTATACTCCCCCATTAAAGGCAATACAGTGAGTTTTCTGGAAAGGTATTTGAAACAGAATGTTACAATAGAAACTGCAGATGAGAGAAAAAAATAGGAGAAACCAGGGTTTTAGGGTTTAATGAGTTGCCTGCTGGGGGTGAAAGAGGGATAGAAACCAAGTGAGTGAGAGCAACAGAGTGCATTTGTGGAGGGTTAGAGGGAGAGGAGAAAGAGTTGTAAGAGGGAAAGAATCCAGGAATGAAGTACCAGGTACCATTATAGTGGCAAAGAAAGCTGCTGAAATACTAGAGCTGGGGCGTGTGCTCTGATCAGGACGGCAGTGAGCACAATTACCTTCTTTTCAAATCCTTCAGTGACACTGCGGGAGGAAGGAGGACTTTGAAACTTGAAAGGCAAGAGCTCGCTTTCAACCTCAAACGCAAGCAGGAAAGGGCTCTGAAATTTGTTCAGTGCTCCCCATCCACCATTAGCTTGTTTCTTCCTCTCGCCTCCAGGCATTTAAGCGCTTTTTGAAAAGATGTTAAGAAATTCAATCACCATAGAGAGAGAGCGGGATAGTTCTTTTTTTCTGTTTTTCTTTTTTTTTTTAAGGCATGCTTTCCCCTGGTCCACAGAGGACCGGCCTGCTGCTTTTGTGTTATTTTCTGAATAGACCTGCAAACTGGTAGCGGACTCGAAGCGGCAACCATGGGAAAATAGGGGAGAAATAACAGAAGAATGTAAAATGAAAGAAGGGAAAAGGGAAAGGATCTGTTGGGCAGATGGGCAGAAGTTAGAAAGAGGTTGCCAGCTTGAACTTGAAAAAAGTTCCTCACATCTACCTCGGCTCTGTCTTTATTAACTCAGTTCTCTACTAAAGATGCACTGGAAAAAAATCGACATCTAGATAAGTAATTTTTTCTTAAAATAAGTGCATTTGTTCTTGGGTTGAGAAGACAATTTACACTTAAAATAAGAAAACACAATTGGTTTGTCTTATTTCAAGTGCATATTATCTAATTATCCTATTTTAAGAGTAAAAATACTCATTCCATTGGCAAACTATCTCGATTACCTACTCAAATTAAAGGTAAATACACTTAATTTAAGAAATTTTACTTATTTCTAGATGTTTTTTGCAGTGTGTACTAGTCAAAGATATGTGTATGATTTTGAATCTTTGCTTTAATTGTTTCAGGGTGTGTTGCGTTTATTGGTTGAAAGAAAGGATGGAGTTTTGAGAAAATTGTTGATGCATCTGTATTTTTCACAAATGCCCATGATGTTTTAATGGTACAAAAGGTTTCCTTGAGCAGGCAGACGCAGCACACCAGAGAAATCTCTGCACACCAATAGGTCTGTTCCACCAAGATCTCAAGAAGTTAATAGCCCCTTGTACTGTGTGTGTTTGTTTAACCGTTTAAGGTCCTATGAACTCTTGTAATGAAGCCCCTGAAGGTGGTATATAGTAGAATGATGAACCCTCTGCCTCTAGAGGGTGGGATGAGGGGGTGCACTGTGACAGTGCTGTGATTGAACTGTTTGCCGCTTGACCTCACTTGTTATGTTTGAAATAGCAGTGGGGGTCACTACTGAACAACAAGACAGTTCTTGGAGAGTAACCAGGAGGAATTAAAACAGCAAACTGTAAAACTGTAGCGCCTGTAGTCTCTCTTTTTTTTGCTCAAAAGAACTGGGAAGTGTTTAGCCAGTTCATTTTCTCATCTGTAGTTGTAGATTTGTTGCATATGTTAGTTTGGTATGGAGTAGAAAGCAGGACCCAGTGCTAGACATAGCTTTATACACACTCTCCTTTGCAGTTTACAGTCCTGACTTCCTCAATCCATGTCAGGAGATGAACTCAATTCCAAAATCCCTTTATGTTAATATTGGGCTTTGCAAGCAGAGACCTATTAATCCAGCTTTAACCGTATAAGTTGCATTATTCCCCTTAATAAGATCACTGGCTGTGCAGTATAGGATTAAATACTTATATCATAACTGACAGTGTCATTTCCCATGGATGAGAGTGACTTTCCTCTCTCCGGTTGTCAGTTCCGCATTTGAAATCCTTGAATCCGCTGCCAGGGCTGCATCAGGGCATGGCTGGCTCTGGTCGCAGGTAATGGATGTGGGATAGTGAGGGGAATAAAAATCAGAGACTCCTTGAACCGCTCCTCCTCTTCTCTCATTGCCTCTTTCAATCTAATTCTCTGCTCCTTTCTGATTGCTTCTCTTTTTTTGTGAAGTGCAACCCTTTGCAGTGCTTAAGGTGGCGCTCTTTAATCTGGCCCTCTGCCCTGTTTCTAATTGCCAGTTGGATTGCTGTTGGGTTGCAGCGGATTGTGGGGGTAGGCTGTTAATACTACAGAACCTTTGGCGCCAGCGTAGGGGCGTTTTGCCAGGTTTTCAGTGAGGGACATTAATGCTGGAAAGAAAAAGCTGGATGCACTGATGGCCAGCATCTCTAATGATGAACTCATTATAACTTAAAACAAGTGCTGAGCATGTGTATGATTTACGGAAAGTTATAGCCAGTGAACGTGGGTTATGGGAAAAATTAAAGTTTAAATTAACTAAACAGTTTGTTCTTTTATGTTGCACTTATTTCCATTTTTTTCTTCTTTTGTAAACAGTAAAGTTTAAAAGTCACCTTTAAATGCCTTTAAATACAAAGGCAGGTTGTTATTTTTTTTATTATCATAAAAATCCTCTTTGGCCGTTTGTTTAGCACACATTGTTTCTGAGGATGTTACAAAATACCAGATTTTTAATCATTGTGTGCCTCGACTATTTCGACCTCATTACAAATTTTGACTCCTAGTGAAACCAAATTGAGCAACTTTTTGGCTTGTAGACATTTCTCGGCATGAGACACCTAATTTATTTATTTATTAAGTATCCATTTACTTACAGTATGCTATGAGTAAAATATATATGATTAAAGTTGGAAGGAAATAATTCAGAAATGTTTAGAATTAACACATTCTGCAGAATGAACATTACAAACACAGCAGCAGAAATGGAAAAATAACAATAAAAAGACATTTAGAAATACAAACCTGTTAAAAAGTGTAAAAGTTACATCTGACAGAAAATAAACAACTTTGCAATTCCGGAAATGGACAAAACATAACATTTGATATGACCAAAGTTATAAAAGAACAACATGGAAACCGGCTGAAATAAACTGCATCTTTGTAGTGAAAGATTAATACAGAGCGGTTGAGGTTTTATTGGTTTCTGTTTTCTTGAATTTTATCCTTTGAAATTTTGCAGACTCATACAAAGCAATTATCAGAATACTTGAGCAGTTATTATTTACATATTTTTTAGATATAATGGGTATTATAGTTTATGTGCTTCAAAAAGAGCCTCCTTGTTAATTACTCTTTTCTGTTCGGTCCAAAAGTTTCATCCAGGAAACTTTTTGAATTCAAAAAAACATTTTTGAATTAAAAAATAATTTTTTTTATCTTGGGTGGCAAGTGAAAGGTCTTCAAACTTGTAAACAAAGTGCAGTGGATTGTTTTTTTTTGTTTTTTTTTACTTTTTTGGAATGACTATGACCTGAATGACTGAGAATCTTCACCAGCATACTCTTTTTTTTTTTCAGTTCAAATGATAAGTAGTCTGAGACATGCCATTCCACTTTTAGAGAAAGTATCAAACTACAGAAAGGACTAATGCTAATACCAGGAGGTTATATGACCTTTGTGCACATCAGTTCAGAGGCCATGCAAAGGGTCAAAGACCATGAGTTTTCAGTAGAGTTCAGGACTTGAGCTCAGCTTCACCTTTATCCTGATTAAATGGCATACTGAAGATCATTGAAAGACCCCATATCTGTCTTTTGTTCTCTCATTAAGTTTAGAATGCCTCTCTTTTCCTGTAGACTTTTACCAAATTTCCATTGACTCAAAATGTTAAAAGTTTGGATCTGACAGTTTTCAAATTGACGGGGTGACCTTGACAGATATATCTAGATGGCGCAACTAACTTTCTACTTCTACCTTTGCTTGTTAAATGTCTTTGTCTTTAACATCTATTTTTCTCTCTCCCCCCATTCTTTTACTTTTTTTTCTGGCAGAAGAAGAGAGCTCAAGCACTCCATACAACCGTGAGAGGCGCAATGCCATTAGCTCCCAGGCCCAGACGCCCGGCGCCCTTGACAGAACCGTGAACGAGGAACCCTCCACCTCGACGGAAGAACGCCCGTCCCTGCTCAAAAAGGAGCTGCACGGGTCCCTGCCCCATCTCTCTGACCATGCCCTGCCCTACAGAGGCACGCTGTTTGCCATGGACCCCCGTAATGGCTACCTAGACTCGCACTACCGTAAGTCCACAGGCCTACAAAAGTAAAGAAATAAGAAACTTAACAGCTCAAGGGCGTGTTTGTAGCACTTTAAATGCTGAGGGTGGCTTTGCCTCCTTACTGTAGGTGAAAGGCACGACTGTTAGATGCTTGATTAAGTCTGACAGATTAGACCTTCTCTTAGACTTGCACAGACATACACTTGCGAACACGTGCACACTCCCTTGTCTGGTTTAGTGCCTGGGAAGTTAGTATGGGGAATGGGCCGGCGTAGCTTCTTAATTCCCTCATTAGGGGCCTGTCTGAACACAGTACTCCACTTTCTCTCATCAACACACACTTCAAAGCCCAAAAGTAGTGCAGAGTCAAATCTCAGCAGCCCCCCCTGCTCTGCTTCCTTCTCTCTCTCTCTGGGACTCTCTGAGAAGTGGTGTGAGAGAAAGGGAAGGAGACGAAGCCCTGGTGTACGAAGGTGAGGAGAGAGCTGTGGTTCAATTGAGAGTTTGGAGATAATTTAAAGCAAAGATAGGGTAAATAGTGGTAGTTAGAGAAAAGCAAAGCTGTGTGTGCACACTGGAACAGAAAGCATGGAAGAAAGATGTTTTAAGAGACTGATTAGGAGGTTAATTTGGCAGTGACTCTGGCCTTTGGACAAAGATTCCATGTGATTGTTTGCTCAGTTTGGTTATTTTGCCCTCAAATTGGGCCAGACAGAGTTGGACTGCAGAATTTAAAAGCACTGACAGTAATGAAAACTTCACTTATCCCTAGCTTTGTACTGTAACTCTATTTATTTAGCCACTTCATTACCGCTACTCCCTTGTGGTTGGGTGCCTGAGAGTAGAGCCACCAAGGTGCCTCTTTAAGGGAAAGGTTACTTTAAACCAGGTGAGGGTGCTTTGGACAGGAGCCTTGAGGGCACAACATTATTGCACATTACATCCTGACCTAACTCAGCAACACTGCCACTTCTCATTTTATGAATGCGTGTGGGTATGTGTGAAGGAGGCCTGGTGGTTCCAGACCGCTGGAGGGAGATGGGGGGTAGTAAAGGAGGGGGTTGGAGGTCACTCCAAGGCTTGGGGTCATGCGGAAAAGTCAAAGTCTGAAATGGAGAGTTCAAAAGAAGCATGAAAAGTCAAAAGGGTCATGGAGCTTTAAGAGAATTTCTTTGTTACCGAATCTTAGGGGCTTGAAAAAGCAGGACAGAGCTTTAAATTGCCTTCTAAGAACATTTCGCTCTTCTGCACAGCAGATTCTGAGCTGCCTCAATTGCCATTTTTATCTTGACTCAAATCATGTACTCTCTTAAAAAACTTACAAATTTTCCACATGGTATGCAGCTACCATGAAAACCCTTTTTTAGTGAGTCAGATCCTAATCGTAAACTCATTCTTTGTACTTTTTAAATTCTGGTTTCGAATAATTTAACAACGGTCAATTTACTAACAACTAATATGTCATTAACTTTAAAAGACAAAAAGGGCAAATCCATATCCAGTTTGGTCTTTTAAGAAATATAACTACAGCACAATCCAGTTTTATAGTGAGATCAAGATCTAAATACCTAGATCTGAATGTTTATTTTGGGGGAGGAAATCAATAAAATGCACATAGTTATTGGGAATGCAAAAATAGTGTAGCAGCAATTTTAGATCATAAGCTCAAGAAAGAATATGAATGTTTAGTACAATCAGTCACTCAACTTTACATTTTAGAAATATGTTTATAGAAAAGGTGGCATTAAACCCTAGAGCTGACTAAATGACAAAAAGAAGAGATTAAAAGTTAACTTTGCAACAGCAGTAATGAGCAGCTGCCTCGGCTTACTCCTTATTTGCTTGCCTGCTGAATTTCACTGATTTATGATTTTGCTGCTTGGAGATTTGAATACACTTAGACTTAGATTTTTTTTTGTTTATACAAGTGTAAAACAAAAAGAAATTTTGTTTTGAACAGCTCTCTGGACAATTTCATCTTTTTTAAAAGTTCAGCCTTGAAAAATAGTAAAAATTTACAGTTCTAACTTTTTTTTTTTTTTGAACGTAGAGCATCCCATAAAAGCTGTTTTTATAAACTGATTGATTGATTTATTGACTGATTGATTGATAGGTTACACTACCTGGAAGCCCTCTTTGCACCTTTTGGCAGGAAAATTAAAAGCTTCACCAGTTTAGAATTGATTGTCTTCTTCTTGAATAATTTTTTACTTTCTTTTTACAAAAGTTTAAAAAGTTCTCATCTTAGTTAAATTGAGATTCTAGCATTGTGTATGTTGAAACTAGGTTTGGGTTTAAGGTAAAAGGACTAAGACATCATGTTTACACTTTCTTCTTATGAAGAAACTGTGCTTAGTTCTGCATTACCAATAAGATGCAGCTCTACATGTTTTCTCACCACTTGCTCAGAAAATGAATCCAGATTATAACTGCCTATTTCTGAATGTGGTTTGAGAAACAGGAATAAAGATACAAAAATACTTAAAATATGCTTAAACTTAAGACTGATTAAATGTCATTTCCTGCCGTTAAATCAAAAGTGCTAATACAATAATTTAGCACTCCAATAAAATTCAAATTCATCCTAGTGAGAATGGAAAATAGCAACATTTCAATTTTAAAAACATAAAGTCTGAATGGCCTCTGTTGTTTTTTATTGATGTTTCTACAATTTCTCATATGCTCAGGAAGACTTATGATCTAAGATGAGAGCATTGTTGTGTGAAACGCCTCCTCCTGGCCTCAGGTGTTAAGGACATGAGTGTGTGTCTCAAGGCGGTACCGATTGATACAAACACCAGACTCTGGTCTCTGGGGTTTTTCTCCGTATTTAAGGTCAGCAGAACCAAAGGAGTCCCCTTAAACCTTAGCAATTCTCATGCCATTTCTCACCCGCAGTACTTTGAACCACAGACCTGCAGCATCTGTTGCCACTCCTGCACCACTAGGTGTAATAAAGCCACTGTTTGTCTCTGCACGCGCACACACAACTCTTACTCAAAGGGCTTTGTCACCTCCTAAATTCAACCCAGGTGTGTGCGTTGCCAGTGTGTGATGGAGAGGGGGAGGTAAGCTATTGTGCTGCGCTTGCAGGGAGCAGCATGCCATGCAGCAGACATCCAGGTAAATCCGATTACTCTTAGCACTGCTGTGTGTCAGTGCTTAATGTGCCTAAATGCGATGGCACCTGCAGCCCTGCCACACCTGGCCGCCGGGTCGTTAACATGGTGGTGGAGCTATGGGAGGTGTGGGAGTTGAGAAACAAGTAGAAAGAAGGGGGGTGTTATCCTCGGGGATAGGGGGGATCCCTTCTATTCACCCAGACTTGCAATCTCCTACTCCTCTTGTGTCCTCAGCCTAAGACTGTGTTTACTCTGGTTTTTACACCCACTTCAGAGGAGAAAAGAGGAGGCACCAAGGAAACATTACTTCCATTGTTAGCAGTAGCTAATCGTAGCGATGGCTGAGTCTTAGCTGCTTTTCTTGGGCAAACATTGGATACGAGTCCATATCCTTCTTACCACAACGCTAATACACATGGCTTTGCTCTGGGATAAGGAGAAAAGGACTGAGATTAGGATTAATGAGAAAAAAAGTCTTTCTTAAAATCTTAATTGTTAGGAAGCATGAATAAGACGCACAGTGCTGACATCTGTTTACATTGTGTCCCGATTAGCCGGCCATTGGTCATTTAGCAACAGTCGGCCCACTTGCTGGCGAAGCGTCCCTTCTTCCTCCGAGGAGATCTTCGTCTTTAAATTCTTTCCTTCTTTGCCAGGCTAAGCATGCCGTGGACGTTGCTGCTGCTACGCTGAAACCCCAGAGAATGTTAAATGAAAGGAAGGGAGTTAGATAAAAGTCAAAGGAAAGTACTTATGGAACTGAAGATATGTCGGTTTGGGGGTTTTAGTATATCACTGACACAGTAGGTCACTGATAGGCAGAGAATGGGCACATTAAGTCTGTTCAAGCAGTGATGCCTGCCTGCCTATCAGTACAATTTAGCTCCTTAACAGATCTAGCCCATATCTTACTGCCAGGACCTTAATCCCTCATACCAAAGCCTTGCTGTCCTTGACTGATCCCAGAAACCCACCAAGCTAAGCTACAGGCAGTGAAAATAAGGGTGTTTTGGCCAAAGATCTTCACATGTATCACAGAAACTTTGCTCTGAGAGTTCAGCAGAAGGTGGCTGCTTACGGGCCGCCAGTGTGCTGAGAAAAACACACGGAGCGATCAACAGTGCAGTAGAGGCTGTTTACAAGGTTGATCAATGTTAAGTCTTTTTAGTTGAAACCTAAACTGCAGTGCAAGTTATTCTGCCAGTCTCAATATCAAAACCCAGCTGACCATTGAAGTGCATGAGTGAGTTGTCACCAAACACTACTCCAAAGTTCTGACTCTGCAGTTCTTCCCTCAGTTCAAATAGAATGCACAACACCAATCTTGAAAGAATGGGAAAACTTTTTACCATTTTTTGCCACTTTTGAACCCCTAACTTTTAGAGATGCTGTTGGGATTTTATGTTATAGAAAAACTCAAACCGGTGCTGAATTGTGCAGTCGAAGCAGTAGTTTGATTGAATACTTTAAGTGCAAAATTATGCTCTAGGGATCCTTCTCTTGAGTAGACTCTGTTGGTAAAAAGATTAATTGTATGAAGCTAAATTTAGGGCAATTAAGAAACAAAACCTGAGATTGTGTAGTTTTCTAACTCCCCTGGTCAGTACTTGTAAAACTGATGTTTGAAGGGTCTTTTGTGGGATATTTCTGCCAGTGTTCTGTACGTATCAAAATAGCTCAAACTGAATTAAACTGTGAAAATCAGTTTCTAAAATTTACAGTTTTCAGTTCTTAGCTTTAACTGTTCTATTTTCACATATTTATAGGTTTTTATTTAATACATTCCTTTCCTCTCGCCATATTTTTGTGGCGCTGGATGGTGAAGGTCCACTCTTTTTTCATGTCATCCATCTTTTCATACACTTTGCCCTGCTGTCCTGTGTTCGCTAAAGATTATCTC